AGAAGCAGCCGCGGTCAGGCGCACGGCAGCGCCCCGTTCGCTCCGCGCAGGCGGGCGTGAGAATGGGGAGTCGACCCTCACAGCTGAGCCCCAGCCGCCCCCCCCGGCCCCGCTTCTGAGCGCCGGCAGGATTTGCAGGGAGAGGCGGTGTGTTTCTGCACCCGCTGACACGCTGGGGGAAGGCAGGCGATTTTCTACGCATGCATGAACCTCCTGCTGCCTGCGGATTTCCAGACAAAGACAAGCTCGTGCGGCGGCCCTGTCATCTGCCATCTCCTAAGGTTTGGGTTTGGTTGGGGTTTTTTTGCTCTGGCAGCTCGAATTCACCCATACAGATGCGGCCAAGACTGCCCTTGGCTCCCAGCAGGTGGGGGGGGTTGTGTGTGTGTGTCCACAACTGCTTTGCAAAAATGACTCTTTCCAGCCACGACACAGGCTGTGATGACGGTCAAATTAATTTGTATTCTGCGCTTTCCTCTTCAATTACCACCTCCATGCACTCGCCATTTTTCTCTGGCCTGTCACAAAACACCATCTTCCTCAGTCTGACAGAGTGCCAGTGTACTGAGCTGCAGGAACTTCGCTAATTGATTTAAAAATAATTTAGAATACCTTTTGCCACTATTCCTGCCCTGGGCTGCTGAAAATTTGAAGTGCTCATTCCAAGGTGAAGCTGCTATGGCTTTTGGACATCATCCTGATCAATTCATTAATGTTACTAAGTTTTATTAGTGAATACTGAATTGGAAGATGTTTCATTCACTAGAAGTGATTGTAAGCTTATCGCTGCAATGATGTGTGGGAATCTGTGAGAAACAGCACGATGCAGAGTAGAAGCGTAGGCTCTTGCGGCAAGAGGGATATTGTCTAATGCAGAAATGATTGACCAAACACTTCTGTTGCTTTATACCACCAGCAATAGCCTGGATCTCTGTTCCTGCTCATCTTGAGGCATATACCACCTCCCTGCTTTTTGGGGGGAGGGCGTGGAGGTGTTATAAAAAATACAGTTTGTAGTTTATTGGGGCTTACTTTGTGGCAGTAACATATCCTGAAGCTGGACTTCTCAAGGCTACATCTTTAATGTGGGTTTGCTTCACCTCCAGGAAGGTCTCCTGGTGAGACCTCCGTCTCACCTTTCTTGCAGCATTGTGCACAGCAGTCTTTTTCCAGGTCTGCTGTTCTAGGAACCTGTTCATGTCTTTTTGACAAGTGAAATGATGCATGATTAAAAATGTGTCTTATAAAAAGTTTCATCTGGATTTTTTGACATGCGGTGCAAAAACAGTGAGGAATATATTCACCTGGTAAAAAACCACCTGAATCAGTTTTAGCAGACACCGAGGAGAAAACATTGTTTTGGCTGCTTTGAATAGACAATGTGCTTTCAGACGGAAGCTGGATATGAAAGGATTTTTAAAAATACATCCCATACTACAAAGTTCCAGTGGCGATTTTGTTTACCCTGCCAGCTGAAAAAGCAGACAGGAACAATATTTTCAGAAAGAGGAAACCAAGTAGGAAAGAAGTACCCACACACATCTTGCATGCAGGCAGCTGCTGCAGGGAATGTGTTTGTCCTGTGATGAAATAATGGCAGAAACCCTTGTATTTTCTGTCTGAACTCGAGGAGTGAAGTATGTTATAGGGGCACAGGTAGGGCTACGAGTAGGCAGATCTGTCCTAGAACAACAGTCTGCTGCCATACAGATAATTCTCACATAGATACCAAAAATCAGGTTTTTATCTTTCCAGGAGCACCAGGATATTTGTAGGTCAGTATGTGTTGCAGAGTTCGGCAGCAAAGAGCCAGGAGACGCAGTGAGGAACTGCTAACTGTGCTATGCTCATAGGGCAAGCCGTGCCCTGAATGACTCTCTGCTCATTTTCCCAGGAAAAAGCTCCATGCACCCTTGGCCTGTTCAGTGTTGGCAAGTGGCACCCCTGCCTGATAGCCGTGTGGTGCATAGTCGGGTACCAGCAAGGGGTCAGGCACTGTGGTTAAGGGAAGGGTGCTAATGCTGCGGGGGGGTCCAACGAGTTGGGCAGAGTGGGAGACCTTTGCAGCCTCCAGAAAAAGGTTCTCCTCAAGGAAGGGAGGAGTGGCAGAGCCCATTGACTAGCAGGGATCCTTGCTGTGGATGCTTCTCCCGGAACTCCCCTCAAGAGAACATGGGAGCCTGTGGGAAAGTGCTTCTCTTAACAACTCCCTGAAATGCTGACAGCTGCCAGGTAAATTCGGGCAGTTACCAGGACGAGCATCCTGGAGGAGAGTTGGGAGGTGGTGAACAGGACAGCAGTGAAATAGCAAACAAAAGTATGCACTAGGCCAGATTTCCCACGCACTTCCAGATGCTGTTAGATGGGATGGCCCAGAACCAAAATCCCATCAGGGCTCCTGGGTGGCCCCTTCAATCCGGAGGCTGGGAAGCGTGAATCGTCCTCTGGGTATTGTCTCGTCCCTCCGCTGGCAACGCTGCAAAGTTTTGTAGGAAGAAAAATCAGTATTTCAGGAGTCCTGTAATGAAGGCAGAGGTGAAGTCAGAGGGGAACTTGTATTCCCACCAGTACGCTCAGTATTTCCTTTTATAAAAAATGTAGCAGATGGCATGGATTTTGACAGTTCCCTGCAGCTGTTTCCAAAGCATGTCTGAGAAATTGGGAATTCCCCTATGTTTTCCTGCAAAAATACAGGCACATGACTGACGTGCTGTCTGCAGGGAGAGCAGGTGAGTTCAGTGCTGGAGGCACCTTGCCTTTGGGTTCCTGGGCTTGTTCTGCAGCTCTGGACTGCCCTCTCTGGGGGCCAGAGCGTGGATTTGAAGCTCTCACTTCACTGCCAGGGGAAGGTGGCAATTTGCACTTAAAAGCTTTTCATCCTCATCTTTTTGCTTTCATTCCTTGTCATGCTCTGTTTGGAGATGAAAATCCTCTTTATAAATTATCTGAGGATACAAGTTCAAATATAAACCAGAAAACAGTACAGTAGATTGGAAAATACTGTGGTCACGGCCCTGCGCAGTTTAATGAGGACAAATTCCATCGCACTTGCACCTCAGTCCTCTACACTTCTCTGGCTCATCACTGGCATAGTATTTCATGCATGTTTCATTGGAGCTTTGTAAATGTGCATCTGTGCTGATTTACTTGGTGTTTTAGAATCCAAGAGCTGACTTGGCTGCTCTCCAGCTGTGTTTGATAATGGTTCTTCAAGAGGAAATGCCTAATAGATGCTTGTGAATGAATTAGTTTCCTTTCTGGATTTGTTTTTCTTTTTCCTTTACACAGGTCTCTCAGGCAGCTGCAGAACTCCAGCAGTACTGTATGCAGAATGCCTGCAAAGATGCCTTGCTTGTTGGGGTTCCTGCAGGGAGCAATCCCTTTCGAGAACCCCGATCCTGTGCTCTGCTCTGAAATCAGGTAATAAAGTCACAGATACCACGACAACAACTCTAATTTGAAACTGAAGGGCAGATGGTGATAGTTGTTTGAATGTCAAGTTCTTGGTAGTTCACCACTTCCCCACTGGCTCTACAAATTGTTTTCTGTTTCTTTTAGGTATGGCAATTGAAGCATGTCTCTTTCCTACGGCTCTTTCTACGGGTGTTTTGTTTATGAGTTGGGGGTTTTTTTGTTTGTTTGGGGTTTTTTTTTGTGTTTGAGCAGTTCTAGGGTCATTAGCAGCATCCAAAATAATAAAAACTGTCGGTGACACACAGCTGTGTTTGACACAGCCAGCCATAAAAAACAGTCAGGTACCCGGCTTGAAGAAGTAAGACAAAGCTGAGGCAGCTGCATGTGCTCTGATGACTAGCTCACAGCTTAAGAAAAACCTTGTTAAAATACATCTTTTCTTAAATGTCATAGTGCAGTTCATTCGGCTGTGTCTCTCCTCAGGCTCCTTCTGGTGTTAATGTTGGTACGGCACCAAAAGCGGTGGAAGCAGAGAGGAGCTGAGGCAACTTGTAATCACATCCTTTGTAAGGTTTTTCAGCACAGGTCTAAAGAATGAGATACTCCCTAAGCTCTGTCTGCCTTAGCACACTGGGTTGCTTGTACCTGCGTTAACACCTGCAGGGTGGGTGGGTGACCTTCCAGCCTTTGCAAATCTTCGGGATCCAATTCCGTGATGCCCACTCTTGTCTCTCCCATCTGTCACACAGATACCAGTGATTGCAGCAGGAGAAAGAATGGCCATGTGTGCGTGCTAGCAGTCTTGGGCAGGAACACACCATATCTTTTGTTGGAAAAGCTCATTTCTTCTGCATGACAAACATACATGGAAGTAGGATATTCAGAAGGGGTTACTCTTCTTTAAAAGAAAAAATAAAAATAGTTCTTGCTGAAGAGCTGAAAAAATTACAGAGTGGAACAACCACTGAATTCTGTTCTTTCTTTGAGAGTGCTATCAAAGTGAAAATGAATGTTTTCTTTAAGGGCAGAATTTAGACTAGAACATAAAGTCATTGTAAAATCTTGCCCTTTCTACTGCCAGGGTTCCCACGCTTGCAGTTGTGCTTGTGCCTCATCAATAGCACGGGTTTGATTGTTGCTGCATAGGTTTAACAAAACAGGATTGAATTTGAAGAGAGAGAACAACTGAGCATGAGATGCTCTTCTCAAAAAACTTGGGGGGACACGGGGGGGACAAGCAGAAGATTTTTCTCAGTGTAGGTGCTAACCTTAATTCTTCCTGCAAATAAGACAAAATTGATAGTGGCTGTTGAATATGTTGTTTTGTTATTGAAGCAGCCTTTCTACTTTTTCTTTCTTGTGTCTCTGTGTGTGTATGCATGTATTTCTAGGATTCAAGTCTGACTACATCATCCAGACAGGATACAAAATACTTTCTCAAACAAGTTTGATGGTGAATTGATGATACTTTTAGAAATGTATAGCTCAGCCCAGGATGTCATTTAGTCATCTTTTGCTGATAGATCAGTTATCTAGTTTATTATTATTTAGTTATCTTAGGATCATAGAAAATGAAAGCGAAGTCAAAAAGCCAATTAAAAATTCTTATAATATTGAAGGATGCCAACATCCAACAAAGGAAAGTGGTTATTCAGTTTTTCTGGGTGCAAAGGAGCTTTTGTGTTACAATTTGTAAGAGAAATGTGTCAGGTTAGGAAGACAGCATTTAATAAACCTTTTTTTTCCTCTTACAGGGAAGGTCACTGGAGAGTTGCCTTCAAGCCTGACATGAATAACAACTGCCTTTCCTTCACAAGAGAAGTCTCTCTCTGTGTCCTAACTTTTGTGTGTCTAAAACAATGTCCTAAATATTTATCTGTTTGTTCTCGTGTATCCGTATTTCACTCTCTTTTGCTAATGTTCTTAAAGTTTTTTAATGTAACCCTTATTCTTTTCATAATAGCCACCATTGTTACTACACTATGCTAACTATACATGTATCACCTGAGAAGTTTACATTTTAGAAAAGAAAAACATGAATTTTTACCAAATCATATATGCCTATCTTGGTAAACTGTTACACCAGAATGATAGCAAAAGCTATTTGTATTTTCCAAAATAAAACATCCAAAAAGTGAACCGTTGAAGTATAAAACTAAATACAGTTATACTGAAGTAATATTCTTGGGGTGAATTTTGCTTCCATTAGCAAGACCTGGAACCAAGTACAGTATTTTTCAAATGTATCTAACTCCATAAATGATACATATTAGAAACTGCTGGACACAATGTGTAGCACAGGCTTGATTCCTAAGGTGTGTTTCTTGCAAAACTTCTAATCTGTAATACTTCCCCTAATTTGTATTTGTAAAGGTACTGCCATGGTGGAATTTCCTTGATGTGTTTAAAATGTGACCAAACAGACACTAAAATCCATGAACACCAAAAGATAGTTGCATGCATAATTGTCAAGGTTTTTAATACACAAAACTTACTAAAATGTGCTTGGTCATTTGCCTTCAGTTTTTTATAGAGCACTTGTACAAGGACAACTAACTTTTTAAATAGTTTTTTAATTTTGTCTACTTTCTATTATTTGTATTCATCTTTTAGAAGTTTTGAAATAAAATTCCTTTCCCTACCGGCTTTGAACTCATTGTTTGATTGTAATGAAGAGCAGATATTGTAATGAAGAAGATACTTTGACTTTGCAGTGGGAGGGGAGGCCTCAAGCTATTTGTCTTTTTGGGAAGAGAAGGTTGCTGTTTATCAGGCTCACATATACATTTTGAAACTATAAGGAAGAAGTTTGCAATCTGACTATTTAATTTTCATTAATGTTAACTGAAACGGTGCAATGAGTGTCCTCTGGGCAGTTCAGTCTTTGTCAAAAGATTTTCAGGCTTGCTGTCCTGCAGGAAGACACTGAAATGGGAGTCGTAATACTGCCAGTATGTATTGTGCCTCTAAATACAGAAAAGAACGTCCTTCCTTACGCTCTGGCTTCCTTTCATTGTAGGCTATTTGAATATGGCAGTTTTTCTCTTAGTACTCGACACATGCACACACTGTGGAAGTCTAGAGGAAGTGTAGTTATTCTTACTTGCACAGAGGTGATCAGAGGCTCAGACTGAGGTCAAAATGCTCAAGTCAGGGAAGGAAGGGGAGGGATGTGAGTATGCATCAAATGTCTTTGAACAGCCAGCATCTGCCTGCTGGCCATTGCCTCCCAGGCAAGCCCATCGTATTTCTTTTACCTCCCACAATAAAGCCTCCCCCCCAGCCCCGCATCTGTTTCTTTCTGCAGTCCCCACTGCTGCATACGTTTTCCTGCTCAGTGTCCCCACTTGGAGCTTGGGTTCTGGAGTGGCTGCTGAGCTGGCATAAGGAGCTGCCAAATTACAGTGTGCAGGAGACAGCAGCTGCTGCTGGCCAGCCAGTCAGTCAGCTGCTGTTGTCTCTTGGCCGCCCTGCCCAGCTCCATGTGGCATCTTTCGTCTGGAGCACCACGGTCAACACGTGCCAGAGGAGCAGCGCTGTGAGCGTACTGCAGGTCCTGACTTCATCCACGTCTTGCGCTAGCTGCGGATAGAAAGACCTGTCCAGCAGTTGTGAGATGGATTGGGAGCACTCCACCCTGGTGTTCCTGCGAGCGTGGTGGTTATTCTGCAGTCTCACGGGAGGAGGACACGGATTCCAGTCTCTTCGGAGGAGTGTGCTTGCCGCAGCCCTTTGCTCTCCGGGCAGCACGCAGCTGAGCTGCTGGGTTATGAGGGGGGGGGGGGGGTGACAGCAGTGCCACCTCTGCCCTCCCATGGCATGGTCTGTGACAAAAGTTGGGTGTCAGAATGAGCTCCAGAATGGGGTAGGTTGGCGTTGAGGGTCTTGGGTGCCTGTGGGGAGTCAGTTTTACAAAGTGCGACACTGCTGGTTATTTTGTGTCGGCTAAATGAAGCAGCCTCCGTCTCAGCAGCTCAGCTTTTGCAGGTTCCTAACCAGGGAACCTGACCAACGAGCCTGGGCAGATGTCTGCTTCTGTAGGCAACAGAACAGGTTGTCTCTTACCTGGCCAGTCAACAGGACAATGTCTTGTTTCCAGCTGCAGGTGTACCTGGGTTTGCACTGCTTTGCTGAACTGAGGATTGGGATGGCTTAGACAGGAACAAGCATCGCATTTTGCTACCCCTGCTCCAACAGGTATAATCTGCAGTGGGTGGACAATTGTGGACAGCAATGTCTTAGCTTTCTTTACCAAAGACCATCCAAGAGGGCTGTCTGATGAGGTCTCAACTGCACAGAGGCCTTCATACCAGTCTTATGGCTGCAGGTCCCGCAGGATACCCAGGGTAAAGCAAATTAAGTGAGTGCACACGTCTGTATGCTGCATGCCTCACAAGAGCCACCAGGCCCCCTTTATCTCACTGTCAATCTCTCTCAGTCCACGAGCAAGGCTCTTCTTCATCTACAGGTGCCACCCGCCTGGTCACTAAGCAGTTTACAAATTTGATCCAAGAACTGAGTGTCTCTACCCGCTGATGGAAGACTGGCGATTAGTTTTTGTATTGCATCTTTTTGTCTGAGAATTAGTTGCTTCCTAATTCTTCTTAGTCATAGATGATTTGGGGGGGGGAAGTGCATCTTTATAGTGCAATACTAATTTTCCTCCACATTACACAGATGGGAGGAGGTGGGGAGAACGTCACATGTGATAAATTTGTCAATGTGTACATATCTGTAAGAGATTGAGAGTCATAAAGAAATACAGTAAAAAAACAACTGGTCATTGCAAGCCCTTTTCCTCATTTCCCACTAGGTTGCCAGTAACTAACTGTACGCTGGTATTTTTTCTACCTAATGGAAACTTAATGCAGACAGCACTTGAATTTTCTTTACTTATTTAACACAGGCAACATGCTTTTGTTTTTCACATGATCTATAAATTACCAGAACTAGTCTTCCATGACTATTCAAGTGAAAGTTCTGGTGTCAGGCTTTGCCTGTGGCAAAGGAGGACAGAAATACATAGCTTGGCAGTGGCAGCTCTAATTTTCTCCACTGTGGTCACCTGTGACTGAGACTTCGTAGAGCCGCACTATTAGAAGAACAGACTCCTGGGCCTGGCAATCTGGGAGACAGTTCTGAAAAACAGAGCCAAACCCATGCATCATGCAAAGACATGGAAAATGGTTAGGTCAAGTGACCACAAAAGTGGGCCAGAAATAGTAAGCAGACTGCATTTTTTATTTAAGTCTTTCTCTTATTCTGGGCAAAACAGGGAAATGCTGACTTGTTTGCAAGTCTACTAAAAGTGTTTTTTATGTTACATTTGAAAGGTGTTTTCTGAAGTTTTGAAAAAAATTTGGGGATATTACTGTGAACTAAAATTGTTGTTAGTGCTGTCATCACAGCTTTTAGGAATTGTCAACTAAAAATCAGCACTTTATTTTCTCTGAGAGACCAACGCTTTCTCCCCTAAGTGCTGTTTTTATTTATCCATATAGTGAATATGCACTTAATGAAGGCTGAACATCTAGAAAGTATTTTACTGCAAGCACAAACCATAAACTTGAGGTTTGGGTTTTTTTTTTCCTTTCTGTTATTGCATCAAACTTAAGAAGATTTGTGAGTTTGAAAACTGACTCATCTCAGCTGAAGGCCACTGAACAGCCACCAACATTCTGGAGCTGGCAGGCATGCCTGTACAAACCGTGTATGCATTCCTGCAGCAGAATGGAGTTACTGCCTACCATTGCTCCCAGTCTATCACCACTCCCAGTGAAACATACTTCCAGTTTCATTGCCAAATCTTTTGATGTAAAGTGAGGTTTCGGGTACTATTCTATCCTCTCACTTCAGCAGCTTGCAATTGAGATGCCTTTTTCTAAAAATTTTTTTTAATCTCTTACCACTTCCAGCTGTAGCCTGCAATATCTGGCACTGCCTCCCAGATGACTCTCACCTCCCTACCCACTGATGCACTGTAGCAGGCTGAAAAATGTGGATGCCAACAAATGGCCTCCACCGGATTATGCAGAGAGCTAGGGTCACAACTTAGCCCTCTGAATCAAATCTATTAGAATCCTAAATTTCACCATGTCTTTCACATGTCGTCCATAAAGCAATTAGGTTGTTTCTGTAGCTTGATCATGATTAAAGGCAGTTCAGGAACTCATCACATGGTTTCTAAAGGAGCTGTCAGAAGGCAAGAAGTGGAACTGAGCCAAAGGCACAAACACAAAGGGTCACAGCTGTAAGTGCAAGAAAACACTATGATTTTATGAGCAGCCTTGAGATTCTGGCATCTTTAAGTTTGGAAAGCTGCATGCTCAGGGAGAAGATATGAGGACTATGAGCTCCAGTATCTGTCTTTTTAAATTCATATTTTATTTTTTGTATAAAGAGTGATAAAGTACTTTTATGTCACCCATGAGAACAAACAGAGAAGCAGTAATTCTCCAGGTTCAAGGAATTAGTTTGTTTAGTGAAATTTTTAAAACATACAAAAGAATCTTGAATTAGTAAGGATTCCAAAACCCTAATTTCTCTCTAAAAATGAACAACAACAAAAAAATTAATCTATTTCCCTTCAAGGAGTTTAATAATTCAAAAAAAGTATGTGTAGTATGCAAATCCCCATTCCATTCAAAATAATTTAAGTCGTGTTTGTCCATCTCTTCTTCCAGGGACTCTTTCATATGTCAATCTCCTTTTTTTGAACTTTGGTGCTTCTGCAAATTGTGGATCTGGAAAAGAAGTGGAAAGAAAATATATGTGTGATGAACTACAAATACAACATGCATGCAGACTTAACTATGTGTTTCTCAAATGCAGTAACAGACTTTAGCTTTAACAAGTATGCTCTGTATGAAAAGTATCAATTGCCATAAAATTAAATGTGTACAGATTAATATTAACTACTACTTACTAC